CCGGACAAGCGTCAAGGCAAATGAAAGTATGCTTTTGTGCGTGTGTGTTTGTGTGTGTGTGTGTGTGTGTGTGTGTGCGTGCATGTAGGGGTTTATTGGTCATCTTAACAGCTGTGTGGTGCCTTTTCGTTGGTGTCGCTTATCTACTTTGCATGGCGGGCGCGGTTTGCAGGGTCTACAAGAGAAGACCTGGCCTGCGGAAGCAGAAGAGGCCAGGTCCAGTCGCCTTGGCGACAGAATGTGGCTTGCCCAGCACGGCCCAGGCTCGCGGGAGTCGTCCTGCTTTGCCTGACCTGGCCACTCAAGGCCATGTCAACAACACGGCGGAGGGGATTGATGCCAATTCTAGTGACGGCACGCTGTCGGCTTCGCCCATGTACATTTCTCCCATTCTCCAAATGTCCAACCTGGCCAATAAACAGAGAAAACAGAGAATACCGAGTATGTTTAGCCTTAACAAAAATCCATAAACACACACACTCACACATACATACAGCGATGCATGCAAACTAACATAATTTTATACGTACCTTCATACTCAATTTCATAGATACTTTAAATCATAGTTTCATTAATTTTCATATATAAATATATACACACATTCCTACACACTTTATGCCTCGTTTCTTTGTACATTCAAACAAAATTTCATACATAAAGATATGAGTGCGAAAATTCACCAACCAGTCTTAAATCACCGGAACGAAATGTGGTGAATTTATCTCCCATGTACATTACTCCCATTCTCCAAATGTCCAACCTGGCCAATAAACAGAGAAAACAGAGAATACCGAGTATGTTTTGCCTTAACAAAAATCCATAAACACACACACTCACACATACATACAGCGATGCATGCAAACTAACATAATTTTATACGTACCTTCATACTCAATTTCATAGATACTTTAAATCATAGTTTCATTAATTTTCATATATAAATATGTACGCACATTCCTACACACTTTATACATAGTTTCTTTGTACATTCAAACAAAATTTCATACATAAAGATATGAGTGAAAAAAATTTACCAACCAGTCCCAAATCACCGTAACGAAATATGGTGAATTTATCTCC